CCCCATGGGTCCAAAGTATGTGATTATCGTGTAATGATTCATAGAGCCCTCTCTGGGGGACAAAAGTGCTGAGAGGATGCTGTGACCAACAATGCCGGGATAACAATTTGCAAACATGGGTCTATGATGCATATAGCCGTTTAAAAGGCTAATTCTCGACATGAATGAAATAATTCGATTTATATATATATATATAGCTAGATATAGATATAGATATAGATATAGATATATATATATATATACGATAGCCAGGATAGATGGACCGAGTTCTGTTGGGCTTTGCTTGAGGACAAGGGTTTAAGCAGCGATAGCTAGATAGATACATGGACCGAGCTCGGTTGGGCTTGGCTCGCCGAGAAGGGTTTAGGGTTTAGGGTTTATTAGATTATTACATAGCGATAGACCGAGCTCTGTACGTTGAGCTTTGCTGGCCGAGAAGGGTTTTGGGTTTAGTAGGGTTTAGGGTATATGTTAGACGTAGGGCTGAGGGTTTAGGGTTTTAATGTGCGGGGGTGGCCCGCTGCTGTTTGGCCCGATACCCCCGGACTGGAATCTGGATGCTCACGTGCCCTCGGCATGTTTTTCTTCACCCGTGCTGCAGCTGTAGGTACCACCTCTGCACAGCGATATCGCACAGGGTCCACGGGTGACACTTTGCCGCCAAACCTCGGGTCGAGTTGTTATATTTGTGATCGCGAGTTTGTGCCGACATTTGGAGTCTGATGATGCAGCTGAGAGTCGTGAAATCTTGCCCACTCCGTCCTCCTGCATAAAGCAGTGGTAGTAGCGACATCCTTCACCTTATATTGCAGCGATGTGAATAAAGAGATCAAGCCAACACGGTTGTGAAGCCAAGCGGCGAGAGGCCACTTGATGCCAGGCTAGCTCTTGCCAGGCCTAGGTATTGTTGTGATCATGTGTAGCCGATTCTGGAATGTTAGTTGACATACCGAGTGAGCTTGATGATTGCATCCTGGTCACATGAAACTTGGGCTTGAGGGGCCAGAGCGGTCGATGCAGACTGGCAGCTTTCTCTGCTAGCTGACAATATGCCATCATGCACTTGTCCTGAGTTGAAGTATTCATGAGCACAATATCGGCACGATTTCCCGCTCCAAGAATCGAGAACAATCAAATGCGGCAAAGCCTCACATGCCCTCTGCATCCCCAGAGCTTGCTCCTCCGTGAGGTACCTCGAGGAGTCCTCCGACATGTCGAACCAGGCCGCCAGCCAATGCCTTAATTCGGGTTTGAAGTTATAGGGTTTAGGGCTTGCTAGGGCCTATAAATTATAATAGTGTATAAACAATCTACAACAGGTAATGCTTCGGTGGGTGTGGGGTTTATGGGATGGTTTATATGATAATCGCGCGAAGCTTCGATTCTCGTTATTTATGATCAGAATATGCATAGAGTAGTTCAAACTTTTGATGGGTTGAGTTTTGAAACTGGATGCAACCCAAAACCCTAAGAATACCTATAAATACATATATATCCCCCTTATAAATATATATTGCGATAGCCTCATAAACCCTAAGCCCTTAATCTTTGAACTTTTGCACACTAGACACGTGCACTCAGCCATTAGCTTCAAGTCATCTGGAGCCCCACAAGTCTGGTCCAGGTAAAACTCCATGAGGAAGGCAGCAAGCCATGCCACCACCACCCGAGCCTTAAATGGTTAAGCAATCGGTGAGTGTCGATTGCTATGCAGCAAATTCCTTTATAATGACACAGAACATTGAATGGAATTATCGAATGCATGTCTGAAGCATTGTAGGCCTTGGCCTTCAGTTCAGGGTAGGGCCCATCCGGTGATCGCAGTGATGCTGTTGTAAAGCGAGGTTGTGTATGCCTTGGATGCGGCTGCAAGTATTGCAATTGGGACTGCATGCAGGGACCTCTATATACTTAAATTGCATTGATCGAGAGGCGGAATCCGTCGTTGCGAGCACCAAGACTTAAAGTCCTCGAAGGCCGATCGCAGTCGCTGCCCGAAGTCCCCATCGCCCCAGACAAAGAACTCTTGCAAAAGTAGTTTGAGGCAGCTGCCAACCACCCACAAAGCCACCCCAAGATTTATAACATGCATGCTGCACCACTTGAAGCTGCCAGGGCCGATGGAGTGCAGATCGAAGATGGGGCCTGGGGCTTGTCGTGGCTCATGGCTTTAATAGGCTTTCAGGCTGTATATTTGCTATATTGCAGGCGGGGTACTTCGAATGCCGGGGTGCACACAGTCTCGTGTTATGTCGCCCGGGGATCGGCGAGGAAGCTCATGAAGTAGGCTCGGAACCACAACGAATGCTTCCTGTGTCACCCGGCATTGGTGACACAGCTCTTTTGAAGACCATCCCGTTTTGAGCTTTAGCCACTCCTGCAACATGCATGAGCTCTGAACTTTCAACCGTGGCGGTTTAGGGTTATTAGGGTTGAGAGTTTATATAATTAGGGATAGATTGTTAAAGTTGAATAGTTTATATATAAATTAGACACCGGTTTTGAAGTGTTGTAGCGGGGTAATTGATTATAATAATTAGGATCAGCATAAGTCCTTCATCCATTTCCAATCTCCTCGTATCTCTGTGCAAACTGCCCGGATCGTGGTGGAGTCTCGTACATGTACACCCTGGATCAGCAAGTTGAAGCTGGCTACAACCTGAGCGCTCGAGCTTGTAATGTAGCACATCGTTTGGAAACCAACCGGTCCCAAGAATAATCCCCTAGTCTATTTATCCATGGCACTGGTCGCATGTAGGCGGCGATCGTAGCCATTCCAAGGCTGAGCTCCTGGACTTGCTGACGGATTCGGCTTGGAGAAGGCCCCGGCTAGACATGTACAAGCAAGCTCTAGAATTATAATCTCGACTAGGCTAATAATAATTTATAATAGCCAGGAGTCACAGCCACACACCCAAAGAGGAAAGCAGCTCCGGTAGGAATCGCGGTTCGAGTCCAAGCAGTGCCCCATCATGCACACCATCACCTTCTGGTTGAACTTTTTTCCGAATCGGCAATCATCTCCCCACAACCAGCAGGGGTGGTGGAGATGAGTGGGGGGCGATGCAGCAGAGTAAAGCTTGTGGTGCCGCCAGTACTCATCAACAGCTGCATCGGAGATTGCCGGCCAACGATTTGTGCGAACAAGCCATGGTAGCAATCTGTGGGGCAGCACAACAGGCATTGACCTAGGATAACATGTTGCACCGGATTACATTGGCAACAACCAACTACAATGCCAGATAAACCATAGTACTTAATACGTGTATGCTAGCATGCAAAGGTATCTGGACATGTACATAGCTATATAGCAAGGCGGCTTCATGATCTTCTTCTGCATGCCCCGCTCAGGCTTGATCGGAACATTCACCATGTCGATGGGAACCTGAGGCTGGATCCGGAGTGCGATTTTCTGGCGATACGGGCTTATAATTAGTTGCATAGCATACAGTGTACATGCGAGCAAGGCACATCATCCCCCGTCGAGCTTGTTCGAAGGATGTCTCGTTGTATGTTGCTACCCCATTTCCCGTGCTTTCCTGCCGCCTCCAGCTTTGCACAGCGGCCGGTCATCTTGATACCGTAGTTCTCGAGCAGCTCCTGCAGAGCATGGTGGGCACAGTTGAAGAAGTTGCCTACGGGAATTGCTGTCCTCCTTCATCGCCTGTAGTGACTGCCGGGCACTTGTGAAGGATTCCTCATGATCATATCATTCAGAGTCCGATGGGGTGCGAGGGATGCAACACATGATCTATGCGGGTGGCTTCAGAACATGATCACATCAGACATATATGCAATCAGGCGACACCACGACCAACTGCTCGCATCAAATAGCTGAACATCGGTGAAGTCCTCGCCCTCGCCAGATCACCTGCGACGGAAGGGACAGTTATAATTAATCATCGGGGGTTATCATGGCGACGGTGCAACATGAAGGCAGCTTCACTCCTTTAATTTTATTGCGGCAGCACAGCAGGACTTCAGAACGGTGTCGGGTAGCTGGCCCCCTTATCCCAAAAAAAAAGCCTTCGAAGTTCGATATCCTCAGGCCTAGCATATATATATATATATATAGATCTATATCTGGAGATATGTTCACAGTATCAGGCTTCCTTTGACAGGATCGGGCTTGACACAAAATCCAAGCAATGCCCTACAGCTGCAGGTTCTAACAGCAATGCATGCTCGAAAGTCTTGGCACAGCTAGCCGTACCCATATGCTCTATATGTTTTAAAGATACGGCCGAAAGCAACAATAGCCAGTATGCTTAATGCAATCGCCGATTCGATCATGCATGCTGTCCCACAGCTACACTGCTTCGGCCCATCAAGCCCACGATCTGCCCTTCATTCAGGCACCAACTCTCGCGACCATCACTTTTTGGCCTTCGCCTTGGTCTTCGCCTTTGGCGGCTCCTGGGATTGTGCTTGGCTGTTTAGGGAAGGGTGCCGAGTTTTGAATTTGTAGTTCTTGTAAGGATAACACAAGCTATATATATATATAAGGAATGCATGATAACCGATCTCAAAAGCTAGCTATTATAGTGGGTCATGAAGGATTTAGGCATTCGGCGCTCGGACTCGGATGATTCTTTAAATAATCAGATATACGAGCTTGGAGGCTTGATTATTCCAGGGTTTAATTAGAACGATATAGCTATATGCATAGGTTGAGGGGCTAACGTTTAACGGGTGACATGGTATTCTACGTACAGCGATGCTTCAGGGTTTGGGATATTCCTGATAATTCTTATAGTAACCATAACTCCAAGCTAAGATTCCAAATACATCTTCATGGGTTTCAAGGCACCCATGTAGCTTGTTGACAATGAATCAGCAGCCTGCATGGACTGCTCGATCGCCGACTGCTGCTCTGTCGTCAAGTCCTTGTCTTGCACGGTGTTGCAGCTGCTGTACAGGGCCTCCATCTTGCTCTTCAATGTCTCGAACTCCTTTTTCGTTGCTGTCAACTGGTCGATGAAGCCCTCCTTTGTCTTCTCCGACCTGGGCATTGTAATTAATACCATGGAAGCTTTAGGTTTACATACACGTATACTAACTATATTATTCTCGATATGGCCTACATATATCTGGTTCCGAGTATGTTGCCTAAAGCTGCACGAACCGAATAGACCAGGATATAAGTAAATCTAAAATCAAAATAACAACGTACATTAGACTAAGTGGCATGCTCTTTTCTTGGCATTCCCCTATCTTTTGCATCCAAACGAAGATTTCTGTGAGCTTCGATGCAATGGCTTGGATTTTGCTGTTGAGCTTGCGGGTGAGGATATAAGCATTCACCTTCTTGGTCGGCTGCTGCTTGTTCTCCTGGTTTGCCAAGGCCTCCCGCGAGCCGGAGTGCAGGAGACCAGCACCACCATGGCCGGAGCCCGAGCTTGCCCCGGGCTGCCGCATCATGTCTTGGAAGATCGGCCTTGCTGTGTGGTTTAGGGTTTGGGGTTTAGGGTTTAGGGATTTGGGGTTTAGGGTTTAGGGATTTGGGTTTAGGGTTTACAAAATATCATATAGAAACATTGCTCTGGGTTGACATCCTTCTTACATAATTATAATACAGCTAGTGGGGATGTCTTCAGGAGAGGCTCGCAAGCTGCGAGGTCATCTCAGGTGCAAGGTTCACACTCGCACTGAAGCCCGTGGTAGACGTGTTCACGTCTTTGAGCTCGAACTCCAGGCCGTCGAAGCAGCGAAACATCTCCCAGTCCTGGGCTTGGATTACATGAGGATCAGGCTTTGAACACATGTACACATTATAATAATAATGTGTGTGGTTGTCTATATATATATATGTATATATATATATATCATGAGGGTGAATACGTGATAGTTCCGTGGTACTGTTCATACAGTATTATATGATTTTCCTCGAATAATATCTATATATATATATATAGATAACAAGTTACCTTTTAGGGTATATGTATGCTGGGTTGAATTCGAAAATATAAAGTAGAGATAACATACGAGCAAGAACGAAAAGCTACCCAACATACAATTCGAGTGTCCGGATCCTCATTGGCTTCCGGGTGAGGAAACCAGAACGGACGTGGTTCTGTCTTGGGGTCTTTCGCAGCCTCTAGCTTCTTCTTGTTGTCGCGAATCTTCTCTGCCGTCTTCTTTCCATATTTTTCCCGCAGAGCCTTCCAACTCGTCATCTTTTCGGTTCCACGTGACTCGTCAACCTTCTGCCGCGAAGCCTCTTGCATCACGGACGTCTGCAGCCAGTCCCCGCCGTGCTCGTACCATTCGGCAAACAGCGACTGCATCAGCTTGAGGCGATCTCAGCTGTCGGCTCGATGCTCATGCCAGGACTGCTTAGACGTGCATTCCAGACGACAGCTCATGATCAGCGATTGCCACATGCATGCTCGCTCATGACCGGACAGCAATGAAGCTGCAGCTGAGTCCACATACGAAGCATACATTAATTATGTTTGAAGTGCAGACATGAGACTCGGCTGGCCCTGGTAGGACTTCACCTTCTCGAGGATGAGCTCCGGGCAGTTGCCACCTCAGATTCGGCAAACGGTTTCCTTGCTTCATGGGCTTCGTAATCTAGAATTTGACCATGAAGAAGAGTGATGAGGAACCAGCGACAACATGAGCTTATCATGATGTCAAGATGCTTTTGACTTTGCGATCGAACTGCACCCTGGCATTGTGCTGCAGTCTCTTGGCTTCCTTGGCGGCCTCGTCATCGAGAGGCTCCGTCTGCTGTGGGGTCTCCACCGGCTTTGCCTGCAGCGGTTTAGGTTTGTACTGTGATCATGAGTGCACATCGGACTGGAGCAGGCTCTGGGTAGCTACAGATCGACATAGAGACATTGGTAAATGTGTGTCTCACGATCACGAGCTGAAGAATTCCAATCTCGCCTCGGCTGTGCTCGGGGCCGGACTGGAGGTGGCCACGGCTGGTTTTGGGCGATCATTGCTGGGAACCTCAGAGTGCTGCAAGCTTGAAAAATGAACCGTATCGAGTCATCACTGGCAGACCATATACCCTGCAAGAGTGCATTGCCAGCTAGCATGGTCATGGATAGCATGTTGTAGCCACAATAAAGCTAAGGAAAAACTAGAGTGCAGCAGCCCGAGGCAGGAATGTGTGGATCTAGCAATAGCTGTGTTCAGGGTTCAAACAAAAGTCATAACATTGTCACATGCCTAATATATAAGATGTGTATGTATATATATATATATATATGTATACACTATTATATACATATATATATACATATATATATATATATTATATAATATAATAGGTTCTATACATCAAAGATAGAGAATTGACTAAGCTTAATTATAATTAATATAAGGTTACTTGGCACCTGCTGGTTATTAAATGTGTGTGCAGTTTTGTTGGGGTCGGGCTGTGACGCTTTTAGGGTTTAGGGTTTGGGGTTTGGGGTTTAGGGTTTAGGGGTTTAGGGTTTAGGGTTTAGGGATTAGGGATTGAACCAAGTCACCTCGACCTTTACGGCCGGCAGAGGCTCCCGACGTGGGCTCGCACATCCAGCTGCACCGTCCGCGCCCTGGGACTCCAGCATCAAAGCCTGCAGCTCCTTTTCGAGGTGGTCCGTGACATTGTCATTGTCAGCAGAGCGATCGCATGCCTCTTCCACGGCATCTAGAATGTCTGTGAGTGCAACACCGAAGTAGTACTGCAACTGTGTCAGCTTCGCCTCCTCCTCGGTGACCACCTTCTGTCTCTCTCGTATCTTGTCCTCAACCCACTTCTTGATCTGCTCTAGCTGGGCTTGGATCTTCTGGGCATCCTTGGACATATCGAGTTCGGCACCTTTCCGTGTGCCCAGGTCTTGGATGGTCTTCACATACTTCTGGAACTCCCTGGCGGTCTTGTCGACGGTGGCCTGCTGCTTAGCCAAATCCATCCCAAACTGATGCAGCACCTTAGCCATGTAGCCATGCTCATCATCCAGCTTCTCGAAGTCTAAGTCCTTCGAAGAGCCGATTGTCCGTGTCCACTTAAGCACCTGTGCAGCTCTTGCAACCTCGCTCATGCTGACCACCTTTTCCATGCCTTCACGGAAGATGTAATCAAGCAGCTTGAGGGGCTCAGCATCTGCAGCATCCGGCTCGGGCAGACCGTGCTTCAAGATTTCCCTACAGATCATCTCTGCCCTGGTTGGCGAGGCCGCCTTGTCGCCGATTGCCACCGTGCTCTGCGAGTCCAGGTGCCGTGGGCCTGGGATATAGGCAATGCAGTGTATCGAATAGCAGTGGTTCTGATAGATATATGTATACACACATATATCTATATATATATATACATATATATATGTTTGTACATGTATATACAATCTATTGTCATATCATATCATATCATATATATATTTATATATATATAATTATTTAGGTTTATAATTAACATATGTGCTTGTATTACAGGGATATATATATATGCTAAATATATCTATATATGTGCGATATACACAGTGCACATGTATATATATATGTATATATTCGTATGCACACATATTAAAATTACACATATGCACATCTACATATATATATATGGACATATATATATA